TTATTCACTCTATGGCGCGGAGAAATTCTAGGGGGATGGAAAACGAGATAAACCTATATTATTCTCGCTGGAGCGTAATTAAGTGTGAAACTTACAACTGACTTCTAGTCAGTCGGCTCGCTGCACACAAAAAAAAACAATGGAGGTGGCGGATATATGTGCAATTTACCAGGCTAAATCGCGAATCGTAAAAACAACGACGGTACGCACGGGGCACACAATTATTCTGCATAATTGCTTGACAACTCGGGTGGAGATGAACTCGAAACGCGACAGCGTGATATGAATACTTATATTAAGCTCGCTGCATAGTGACACTTTCAGTTTATTAAAATTTTTATAAAAATATAACATAAAAATAGTTTAATGTAAACAATAAATTATGCTTAATATATGTAATTATTTTCTTGAAAATCGGAGTATGCATTATATTAAGTACATTTGTGAAAGGATAATATATTTAGTTTCTATGAAGAATTGACACTTTCAGAAGAATATAAATAAAAAGTAAACGAGAAACATAATCAGTAATAAATTTAAAACAATAGCACAACCAGTTTTAACGATTTAAAAAAGATTTTTGGATGAACGTAAACGCGAGAAATTTATTGTCACGTCTGGTTTTTTATTTATTTATATTCCCATGGAGGTCAATTCTTTATTCCAATCAGATAATTTCCACCGCTAGACAACTTTTTTTTTCAAGCTATTGCAGTTCGGAGTCCACCAATACGCGTGACTACATTGATTCCGTTCAATGCAATCTGCAGTGACAATGGTCGCGGCCAACTACCACGGCCGCCAGCGAAATTCAATCTGCAGCGAAATCGTTTGGTGCCAACTTTTACGGACGTTTGAAGAATAAAAGGTATCACGGGGTTTCGGCCGTTTATATCCGTGTGAGCATCGGGATACTTGGACGTGTGTGATGAACAAAAGGAAGAGGGAACCGAATGAAAATAGACAGTTAAATAGTCAAATGAAAGCTAGCTGTACGGAAACGGATGGCAAGTGGTATGAAAAAACGTTGTGTCTGTTGTACGCGAAGACAGATCTAAAATAATTTTTCCGCGTCAAGCTCTATGCTTGTGTACGAGGCAACTTAATTTATTTCTTGTTAAATAACAATTCATTTATCATGACAAATTTTGAAATATTAGCGCTTGCGCAAATCCGAAGTGAATAATTGCACTTAACTTCATAATATTACCGAACAATATAAACAAAAGAAAAACACAATACGTATATTAACGTTGCGAGAAGAGAAAAGAATAAGAAATAAATTCAAACAGTAATATTCCAAATATTAGCACAAAAATAAATCAATTAATGCAATAGTTTTAAAAAACAATAAATTTTATTGGTATATTAATAATATATTAAAATGCAGTAACAAAGAGATTTTTACTAAAAACTAAATAACACTTAAAACTAATTTACTATTATATATTGTGAGTAACAAAAAATGCCATTTCTTTAAAAGTAATGCCTTTGGTAATTTTTTTTTGTTTATTAGCAGTTATTTAAATTTTATATAATATTTTGAAAGTAATGTATGCATCACACAGAGCGCAATTTTGAATAACAGTGACAGTTTACTGATAAAGATGGTCCAACTTTAATCTAAAATAACATTTTAAAAAGATTCTTTATTTTTATTAATAATTAAATTAATTATAAAATTAATTTTATATCGTTTATAGTGCGATACTTATGTTAGTAATTATAGTTTTTCTAAATAATTGTGGGACAACAAGTCTTGTCAGTTATTTAAAATCGTTAGAGAAATAATTGAAATGTGTGTGCAACCTATTATGTGACAGAAAGTTGTTTTAATTCGCATTTCAGGTATTTGGGATTCCATCAAATTCAACGTGTACATATAAATTTCTGCAATTTAAACTTAATTAAACCTTGATGAAATCTAATGAGTACTCTAAAGCCTAAATGATAGAATTTGATAGAATTGCATTTAATGTGTTATATGTAATTCAATCTATACGCGACCCGCAAATATAACGCTATTTCGAATCTAGCGCGAGCTGGAATTCACGCGTGTGCAACCTGTTTCACGCAATTTCAATTAATTTAATTTAATTCTCTTTATATAACATGCACTTTCCCGAGGAACGACTTTGTAAGGATAAACAATGGAAACGTGAGAGCGTCCGCTCGATATTTCAACGAGCACAATTTGTTTCAGCCGACGTCGGGACTCGTTTCATCTTTAATCCCTCGCGATTAATCATATTTACCGACTGCGAAAATAATTGCCGCCGCGCGCTGCAAAATAAGCACAATGGACCGCGCGCGCGTGCGCGCGCTACGCGCCTTCTTCTCCTCCTGTCTTCCCTCGGTTTAGATAGAAACTTCTCCCGGTGTAATTAATGTAAATAAGAAACCCAGGTGACTACGGACGAGATGCCTCATTTCTCTCTGCCTACCTTCGTTCCTTCTACCTTACGGCCCCCGCGCGAAAGGAGAGCTTGGCACCTGCGGCACTCGGTACGCGGATGCGGCCACGGTCCCGCGTAGCTCGCGTTAAATTTTTGAAGGATTTACGAGCGACATCGCGCCCGAACGAAGAGTACGCGGAACATTTTATTTGCGCTCTCGCGCAAAGCGGGAAACTTTCATTCTTGGGGAACACACATTTCAACGCGTTTTCCGCCCGGCGCGGTGCTTAGAAGAAATACAGCGCGGCCGTCCTTTCGCGAAAGTAATACCGACGAAATCGTGCAATTTATTCATATATCTACCTTCGGCTATAATTTTCGAGTGCTGCAATTGCGAAATTTAATAATTCTTGTTATAAATCGTAAATTGTTTTATTACGTAATTGTCTAACAGAACGAGTCGCAGTGTTTCAATTTCTCAGAAACTTTGTAATAAAATTAAACTATTTTGCGATGCAATGTCGCATAAAATGTGACACTTTACGTGTTTGCTCGACGTTATATTTTTATTACTTTCATATATATTCGTTAAAGAAACAATGATTGACAGATGAATAAAAATGGAAAAAAGGGAAAGCAGAGAGGGGGAGAGACTCGGAAATTTTCACGCCGACGTATTGCACAAACGTTTTATAAATCGATTTAATATATTCGGCAATGGAATTTATGCATAAATAAAATGCGTTCTAATGTAACAGTACAATAAACTGGTTTCGCCTTTCGTTTAAATGATCGAAGTTTACGTATGCCAATAGACCAACAGAATTGTCAGGCACGAACGTGTATGATTAACAAAATTGGTTTACTAATTAATATCTCGTGAATACGCGTTCCATATTCATAAGCTTCTACCGGCAAACTTCAACCAACGTTCGATAGCATTTGCCAAAGCAAATAGATGTACTTCCAAATGATAATTAGGAATCTACTATACACAGAAAACAGAGTATTGAAATTTTCACTTTGAAATGTGTGTAATGTAGAATTTGCTTATGAATAGCTCATTCATAGAATTCTAAATTACATGCTCATATTTAATGCACACATATTTACAAAGTTTAACAATAAAAAAAACACTAAAATGCCTCTACATATAAAAAATTAATTTTACATAAAAAAATAAATCATAAGAACGTTATTGCTTTCTTAATATTTATTCCATTTTGTTATTCAAGTTTAATATAAAATTTTTATAAGTGCTATATTTTTCTCCTTGTTTTACCTTTTTAGTAATTTAATAATATGCTAATGAATGCAACGATAAATTTGAATACAAGCTTTTGTTAAATGGATCTATGGATATTTACCGTATATATTAACCTTTAGCATAATTAAAAAACGTGAAATGTATCTTATTTTTTTAATTTATAAATTTTAAAATATTTTAATTCGTTAAATTATATATTAGCGTGTAATAAATGTCAAATAGATTGGAAAAATCGAACAAATTGTTCTAATCTGTGACATTACAAGACTATTTTGTAGATCGTTCTCTGAAAGAGGAAACGCATCGCGTGGAAAAAGTTATAATTGCTCTATTCGACAATTATAGTCATTCAAATACAAATGACATTTATGCTCGTGCAGGATTGAATTATTCAGTCAATTAAATGGAATAATAAATTCAGCTAGTTAGCGGCTGCACGAGCGGAGAAATATGAACGCAGAAATATGAATGCACTAAATTTAATGACAAACTCCAACGCGACGGTAATTTCTTTCTTTTAATACCTGCCCTTCGCTCGCATTCCGAGAGGTGTGGCCGCTTTATCCCGAATAACGCGTAAAATATGTTCGGCAAAAACTGCAATTTGCTCGATTTACCCGTGGAAACGTACGGTGTCTCGATACCGGCAACCGCCATTGGCGCAAAGTGAAACGTAACGGAAGAAAATCGTAAAGTGGTAAGAAAAGATAGGAGAACGTGGCACGCGAAAAAAGGGGATGAAGATGCACAGGACAAGACAGGGAGGAAAAGAAGAAAAAACGAAGGGATGGGATTGCTCGTAACTGGCAGGCACGAAGCTAATAAAAGCGAGCGAAGTAATACCGCTATTAAAGAAGCTTTCGAGCGACGTGAGTACAGCGCGCACCGCAAAACTCACAATCGCACCTTGGAGTACTCATCTTTTGCAAATGCGGGAGCGTGCGGTTGCGGTAATTTTGGCGAAGTTAAACCAGCTTTCGCGATTCCAAGCTCCATCGGTCTCGTGGCGGGATTACCCGCGTGTGTAAGGCGTAATTTATCCCGCCGAAACCTCCCAGTTGCAGCTGCAATCCTGTAAAATACGTTAATTGCGTTACGCCTAATCAACTGCGCGCGAAAAAGCTGTTGGATAAACAAGCCTTTAAATCGATAGGTCGAATCGCTGAAAAGATTCGTGTCGAATAGTTGCGAAGACAGAGAAATGAAAAAAAGATACATAAATGCTTTCTTTGTTGGACATAATTCCAATCAAATATTATGACGTAGAACTGTAATAACTCTTTCACAAACGAGAAGATCCATATAAATTTGATGCAAGGACAATAATAATAATAATATTTTTGTGTTTAAAACTTTATTATATATGTCTTACAGGATTTTGCAAGCGTTGCATAAAGTTTCATCTTAGCCCGAGTCAGCATCGCGCAATATTTTCAGTTTACATTTAATAATTTTCGTATCAAGATTTGAAGAATTTTACAGATAAATTCTTGCCGAAATTGAGGGGCGTTATATCACTCCGCTATCCTCCATCAAATTCCGGCGCGCCCTCGTCGGGTTTCTGCATCTTCAGAGAAATTCCGGGTGTTAAATGTATGTTACGATCGAAACCGAAGATGGAAAACTTACTTAGCGTAGTGCTAAGATACCTGTGGGGTACCATGGATTTCTTGCCTCTTGAGTTGGCCGTAATTGTTCCACGTGATGTAAACTTTGCCCGAGGTTCAAAGTTGGTATGCTCGCAGGTATGTTCGTCGTCATGCCGCCAGGTATGCCCGTTGATATGCCATCAGTTATGCTTCCAGATATACCATTGGGTGTATTTGAAGTCAGACTGTTTGGTATGCTTGCCGTGAAGTCCACAGGTAAGTCTATGCCTGTAAAGTATAAGCAAAATACTGTATTCACATTAAAAACTTTAATAAATCAAGATTTAAATGTAGAAAAAGAATTTCACAAAATTAAAAGACAATTTGACAAAATGATCATGATTTTATAAAAATAATTATCGGAATGTAACAGTCGTGATGACATAATTAGATGTTTGTCACTTTAATACCGTCATTTCGTATTTAGTTGATCGCGGAGGAAGAGTAAAGTTTTAGCTTACTTATTGTTAGATTTTATTATTTACATAATAATAATAAGATATAATGATATCTCTCGTACCTAGCAGTAGTTTGTTTCTCGTCGCCGCGTCGGGCGTCATTATAGATTTCAATGATAGCATTGTGGAAATGTCGCTTTTAATTTCTATCGGCCAAGAAATTGGCGCGACAGGTATATTCGGTAAAATGAGTTTAGCCTTGCCGTTCACTGCAGACGGCGGAGCGTAGCCGGAGGATGTTTCCGGTTGTGAGAACTGCTGCAAAGGCCAGTCTTGTTTAAATTTCACGGGCAGCGCGTAGTTCGCGAAGGAGTTCTGAATACCCTTTAGTCCGCTTTTGTGCTCTTCGGGGAGAATGTAGTTCAACATGGAGCTTTGGATTTCAACGTTCTTTGGCGCTTCCAACGCTAGGAATTTGAAGTCATGCTCGTTGATCTTGAGGCTGCTCTTCGGAGTGTGTGAAAGCGCGTGAGCGTGCACGTCATCCAGAGTAGGAAGAGGAGATGTGACAGCTCCATGTTTAGTAGCGTGAAAGTAAATCGGCTCGAGGATACTAAGTCAGAAAAACCGAATTTAATTAAATGTACAATTGCGCTATTATATCGTAGATTAATTAGCGCGTTCGGCCCTTTCTTTAGATTCTCAATTTTGCAACGTAAATTTTACAATCACAAGAATAATTACTAAGGAAAAATAAAATAAGAAATAGTAAAAAATAACGAGAGTTTATATTAGACTTCGATATTCACAAAAACTATCGGTTAAAGCACAATTAAAGAATATGTAAATTATATTTAGAAATATAACTTTTTGTTGTTACTTTAAATCCATGAAAGTACATATTATAGCAAAGTGAAAAATTACTAAACAAAATAAAATTGATTACGTAAAATAAATATGTTTGAAATCGTAATTAAATTAATTTTGCGCAGAGTCATTTGCAACGTAACGACGCGACGCAATTGCTCCAAATCCAATGTAATAGCATTCGAGTGACATTCTTGTTTAGCAATTGAGTAACTTCGCAAGTTTAGTTTACTGCATAGTTACAATGGTGTAACCAACCGGGCGGATAATAAAGCCTCCGGTCGGCCATTACGTACTTTCCGGCGGACGGCGCTATTGACGTTGCCATGACAGGCGAGCTGGGCTTGGTTGTTAAACTTGTTAAGATGTGACCTACAATCGAGGATTGGTTTGTGCTAACTGAGATTGATGGAACGGTTGTCGGCGAGCTGTCAACCGACTAAAAGCAATACAAACATTTATTAGTCCTGCGCGCGCGCCACTGATTCGTGCCTGATACATTTCTTCACTACGTTCACTCCTGTTTATTTTACATTTTGTGATCTTCCAAGTATCCAACTATAATTACAGTTACGCATTGCAATTATAAAATTATATCAGAAAATTTGTGCTATCTTATGTTTCACTTACGAGTTGATAAGAATGTCATTAACAGTTAAGTAGTGTAAAATATATGCACAACAAACACAGTATAACATAAATTTACAATTTATTGCTATTTTAATTTGCAATTAGCATTCTACGCTACGTTTACGCAACAATGCAATGGTTGCATAAGAGCGCGAAATAATTATTTTATTAAAAATTTTATAACAAAATAAAAGTATAAAATAATATATTTCAAAATTTTATCCGTTTTGCGCGCATTGTTCTAATTGCAAGTAGATACACGTAACACAAAACTTGATAAGATTGACAGACTCGTGATGGTTTTCATTTATAATTGCAATTATTCACTGCAGAAACGGATACGTCAAAATTTTCACAAAATAGATTTTGCTTTCGGCAAGGTATCAAATTCAGGCGAGATTAAATTTTGATTATATAATATTCCGTTTTGTAAAACCGAAGTATCAGCTGTCATATAGGTTTTGCTCACCGCATTGCAGTTGCTGGCTGACGTTAGCAACGGACCTAGTTCCATCTTGGAAGCCTCTGAGGAATGAGCTTCGCCCATACCAGGGGAAACAGAAGACACGGGATTACGTCCGTGCACGATAACGGGCGTCGATGGCGGCGTCCTGGGCATCTCGGCGCTCAATGGAAGGAGGTACTCGGAAAACGGGACCATCGGCAGCGACGACCATCCAGGCGCCTGCTCATCTGCGAGAAATATTATTATCATACGAATAGCGTGGGTAAACGCGCCATAAAATAAAGTTCGCAAGACACCGATGAACCGGCGCGGGTGCACGCACCCTGAAACGTGAGGGGAAACAAAATTGTCCCGTAGGGACAATTCATTATTTTTTAGCTCGAGGGCAAATATTATACGCAAGAGTATCAGCAGAGATTTAACTTGATAGCTGGAAAATTATTATTCTGCAATAATTAACACAGGTGCAATCAAGTTAAAGTTCCGAGGGGACGAGTTTGTCTAACACCTCAATTAACAAACTGCTCTTCGTGTTTTTAGATAGAAAATTCGATATCGGATTGCCCGCGAAACAATTTGCGCGAGTTAAATTAGAAAGTCTGAGGTGGGGGGGAAAAAAAGAAATTGAGCTGTGCTCCATTATCAGAGAAAAATTCATTCTCCGATGTTACATGTAAAAAGAGTTCCCATCACATGTTCTCGAAATTGTGTAACATCCGTAAACTCACCGTGTTTTGTATATATCGTCGATTTCCCGTCGAACGTAGTCGGTATGTCTTTATATCGCTCGTACGAATCGATTGGTTTAATATAATCGTCTCGATGGAACTCGATCGAGTCAGGGGCGGGCGGAGTTTCGACGATGGTCGGTTGCTTCTGAAACGACGCTTGTTCGGCCGGGGATGATTGTCCGCGAAATAAGTTTTTAAGCGGCGTTTCAGCTGTAAACAACTGCTCTTTGAACGGTGCTCGGCTGCCGTACGTTGACACTTGTCCCTCGAAGATTCCCTCCGGCGCGAGCAATTGTCCCACGAAAGGATTGTCTCCGAGAACCGCCCGTTCTCCGCGCAATTCCTGATTCTTCAGTATTGCGTCTTTGAACAACGGTTTATCTCTGAACGACGCGAAGGAATTCTGTTTGATCGGTTGATCACGAAAAATCGAAAAGCCGAATGGATAGACGGCTCGGTCCTTCAAGAACACGTCGCGAAGGGCTCGCGGTCCGACAGTTCGATCTCTCATTGGTACAGCGGCCGAAGTTTGCGGACCGACTGACTTGTCGAGAAACGGTAGATCCAGAAAAAAATTTCGCAGAGATTTACGATTGGACGGAACATCCGCATTGGAGAAAACGATGCCTCTTTCAATTTCGTATGCCCTCACAGATAACAACGTCATCACGACGTGAAGGCAAATGAAGACACTCACGTTTAAAAATATCATGATCACTCTGATTTTTATGACGATTTTTTTTTAAAGTTTTACCATCAGTTGTATTTGCTACGTCGTAAATGATGGCTTACGCTTGTCGTTTTACCTCACGATGATTGTTCACTGCGTTTTTTAAATTAAAGAATTGATGTATTAACTTGTGCAAGTTCTAACGGTGACATTGAAGATCGAACGTAATGACTGCAAGTGTAAGTGATCGAGATCGACAGTCTTATATAGAATGAGATCTTCTTCCAGTTTTTCACCCTTCCAATGCCAGTAGTGCAGGACTGGTTTGGTAAAACACGTACTCGGCGCCTTTCTTTTTCCAGTATATAGAATTTAAATTTATTAGTTTTCTATTTTTTTTTAAATAAAATGATTTGAATAGACTTTTAATGAAAAAAATTGATAAGAAAAGAAATGGCGTGTGATTAATTTCAATGAATATATTTTAAGAGTATCATAATAAGGCTACATGTCGATATCTCTTTTAATGCCAATTATAACTCTTTGAACTATTAAGAGAAATAAGTACTTTCTTCTCTATAATCCATTTTTATTTTTTCCTTGAAATCATATCGAACACTCTTGCTAAGAATATAAGAATCTGAAATAGCGAAAAATTCTTCCCTCGTACGGATCGGAAAGGGAAATAAAGATACAGTGAAAGAAGAATTGCGCTCGCTACTCCGCGTTTTAAGTGCAGATGCACAAGAAGGAGCCGGGTCCGCCTCGAGGTTCCTTGAGGAAAATTGCTCGCAATGGAAGCGGCCAATTGCAGAGGTTGCCCTTTACGCACAGATGAATGAATTTACTTTAGGAATATATCATCTCAAAGGAACTCGTTTTCCGCCAGCTCTTTCGACTTTCACCTGGAAGACAAATCGGAGGAAGACGAGGGGAGGGACGGGGGTTTACTGAACTTCAGCTTCAAGTCCCCGGGATTGGGGAATGAGAAACAAGAAGAAAGAAAAAGATCAAATGTATCTTCTTCCAAGTGGCGTGCCGCGCGAAAAAGCCATCTGCGTTTCAACGTTCACGTGCAAAGTTTATTTTACTTCGCGTCTTATAGATGCGGATCCCGCCGCTTTCTTTACAGTGAACAGGCAAGGCAATAATCGACCAGCCAGAAGAACGAGATTAGCTTTTTCCATCAGTTCGATCACGTTCATAGAGTACATTTTGCTTTCGTCGCGTCTCTCTGATGATTTTGTCGCAAAGTGACAATTCTGAAGGAAAAGATTTAAAGATGTCATTAAGATTTATTATTTTATCAATAAGACACTTCGGGCTGTCAAAATTTAATAAACATGAATTAATATTAAGCCAATGAGAGCACGCTATTTATAGATAGTAAGACTCATTGTCAAACCGAAATAAGAGCGTGAGATAAAGAAATATAATCAAGCAGATGAAAATCGCAGTCATAATTAAAGTTATCGTTAAGATTTTGACACAATAATTACCGAAAAATATAATAAACATTGAGAAAAGTCAAGTAAATAAAAAGATTGTACATAGTTCTTATTTATTTGACTAACAATCTTATTTACTTAATTTTTCTCGATGTTATTACATTTTTCAATTTCTGCGCACTAAGTACCGTGCTGCACTATCATTGCTTTAGTATTAATTCTTGTTTTTTAATTTCGAGAGTTCTTTATCAATTGTAATTCCCAAATTTAATGTCAATTTAATTATCATGTTAGAAATATAATTTGCTGTTATCAAAAACATTATATTTATACGTTTTTAAAAATATAATGTTTAGAATAGTTAAATAATAAGATATTTAAATGTTTAAACTAAAAGATTAAAGAAACTCATATTATAATTTTAATGTTCTTTTCAGTTCAGATAATGATCATGCTGATAATGTTTTAAAAATGATATAAAGATATGAAGAAACCTCGCGGGATGGTATCGAATTTTTTTAATGGTTCATTTATTCTATATAAAAAACGCCGTAATTTGCCCGTTTTGTAATTCACCCGTATACAACCTCGGGGGCAAGCTGGCGGTATAATTTTTATTACTTCCTTATTGACGCCCCTTTAAAAACTCTGCAGACCGTTCAGAACGCCGCCCCGGCCATTCCTCCGACACCGCGGAAACTTTAAGACGATCGTATTTCGCGCGCTCATGAGGGCTGCTGCTTCGGGATACTAAAACATTACTGTTTATCGAAGGTCGGCTTAAGAGTGGCGCCATGAAAATTATTACGGGCCATCTTTCGGAGAGCGTTCGCTTCAAGCTGTAAAGGTGAGCGCAAGAGCGCTCGATATACACATCCGTGCCAGAGTTGTCACGAGTTTTTTTTCCCTTCTACGCGCATGGAAGAAACTTAAAAGATTCGCGTTAAAGGTAACGATATACATAAAAAAAAGCATGCAGTACAGTGGAACTTAAACAGCGAGCGACTCGGTCAGTCGCAGTAAAGTTTAAAATTTCAAACGGTGGGACATTCTCGCGCGGGGATGCTCAATCGTGATCATTTGAATCGCGCTTCGAATTGCATTCCTTGCTTTTCTTTTTTTTATGACTTTTTTTATCATTTCGAATCAATAGTTTCCGAACAATATAAAACAATCAGAGCTAATCTATCACGTAGTGATAGCGCATACTGCGGTACTCTTAGGCGGAACACGCGAGCCAAACTAGCACGCTAATGAGTTTCCGCGATCCCTCCTACGTATAGGCACGAAACATTTAATACGCCGCACGTGAATTCAATGCATTCGTCGATTAATGCACACGAAAGTATTTTCAAACGCGTGTACAAGTCTGAAACTTTAATATGCCACAACACAAACGCGCACGCAATTGTTACGAAGTCAACTTTTGATCGAATTGTTTGTTGGACATCATTATACTCGCGTATGCAAATTATTCTATTTTACATTGCAGCAAGAAAGTTTAGAAAGTTATGAAGATGTAAAAAGACATGACAGCGAAATTAAGAGATATTTCATATTTATTTAGTGCTTTCCATTCAATTAAATTCTAACATTTAGTTATTATTTCTTTTTATATTAAATTAAATAATATATGTACGTCAACATTAAATTATTTAATAATATATGTTTTTCTTATTTTTAATACAAAGTGTGCAAGTTTTTACAGATATGAAAATGTAGATGGGATTAATGCTCAAATTGTAATAATAATGGCAAATTAAGTACAAGTGTCACAACTGGAATAAATATTATGTACTACAAATTAATCTGATTGCATTACCGTCTCGGCTTTAGCAACTGGCGATGTATGCATTGAAAAATATCGGACTTCTCGGAAAAGTCGCTATTGCGTTACGTACAACTGTCAAAGTGAGGATGATGGGCGTATTGATTTCTCAGGTAAGTTAATATTCACGCTATGGAAGAGCCAGTATTCGTATTTAAAAAAAACATCGTGTATACCTATATGAATTCGCATAAAATAGAAAAATCAAGAAATTGGAAATGTCAAATGGTCTGCATATAATATTGATAGCATACGAGGGAGATAAGGAGTTTATTTAATTACACAAAAGACACAGTCTTTAATTTCTTTATTATATTATATTCCGTAAGTTGATAATTAACTAGAGAATACACGTAAAAATCTTTTGATTTTAACAGATAGATTTTTCAACATCACAGTTTAAATACATTTTTAGATCAAGGGACGTATGATAATTTGTTTTTCTTCTCAATTTTTGGCATTCTATTTTACAAGTTAGAATACACTTATTTAATAAATTGTAATTAATTATAATTAGAAATAATTACAGTTGTTTGTTATACGCAATGATTCATATACGCATTATGCAACGAGTGCATTTTTCATAGGCAGGTGTTTTATGCTCATTGGAATTGGCATTATAATTTACTGTGAAAGCTTTCAAGAGAATTGAAACCGCGAACTACGCACCATTCGTTTGAATCGTTTATGAAATATATATACAGCTGCGTGATGAAATAAGGTCATGCAGGTCTTCAGTATCATTGCCTTCACATACGGCTTGAAAGCATCATTAATATGGTTTTTTAGTAATTCATTAATGACATGTCGCTTTGGAAAGTCTAATGACGATAAAATAACACGATAACGACGTTCTTATTTTTTTAGTGAAAAAAAATAAGGGACCATATTTTAATTTTAATTTTATTTCACATTTTTATTTTCCGTTTTTTATATACTCATGAAATACTACTAAATGTGTATGATATTTACTATCCAAACAGAGTAAAAGATAATTAAATTTTTAATTTTCACGGACATCTAACAATCCACGTTCTTTCATATTTGTCGAAGTAATTATATGACAAAGATATACACATATTTAGAAGAGTTCTTTTATTTCAAAATGTAGATAGATAAATATACAATTAATAATTTATTATTAATATATATTTATAAAATTCTAAAATAAACCTAGAATACATAAAAAAAAGTTGTAGAGTAGCTGATTGATTTATTATATCTATATTTGCCTTTACGCTCAAATTGTGTATTAAAATAGAGCGTGTTAAAAAACTTCCGATTATATTTTCTTTCTTGCTTGTATTTTTCCAATACTTTACTTCCAATACGTTACTTCCAGTCAGAATCTGCCAAACTAATTCCAGTCTTCTAAAGAATTTGCAGAAACTTTCTTTCACCTTGGAAACCCGCTGAGTCGTCGATTTAGATATCGGAGCCTTTAGTCTCAACTTTAGTTTCGGAGCAGGTATTTACTTAGGTACTCGAAGCAATTTGTTATCCAACCAATTCACAGGTAAATGTAGCTTTCAGCAGACAAGGACGGCACGAAGATTCATCGGGAAAGATATCATTCGGCTATTTTGTGTAACTTTCGTTACACGTGGGCATGATGAATGATAAGAAAATTGATTTATTACGTTTGTGAAGAATTCTTGCTGTATGAAAGTGCAAGAAGTATATCGAAAAGTATTATTTTGCACTTCGATATATTTACATTTTATAACTTTCTAACTATAGAATTTAATAAAGTAGCGAATAATTTATTGTCAAGAGGTATGTTTTGATGTAATAATGTTTTAATTAATGTTTTCTTGCTTTATTCACAATGTGAAACTTGAATTTATATCCGGCGCTCGAATCTATTTACAATATATGACGCATATTTCATCGGAATCTCATAATGCGCGTCACGTGTTCATTATGTACCAAATATTAATGTTCGCGATCATACTACAAGTATTTAACGAACGTTGATGCGTTT